TAGAAATTTCTTAATTGGACATAAATATGTATATTTAGAAATTCAGTTATTGGAATATCAAATTGGAGAAACTTTCAGTAGACAATTACCCACACTTACTGGTAATGAATTTTTTCAGGGAATTGCTATGAGACAATTGGAACAAGCAAAAGCTTTATTATCTTTAACCATTGGTAGTGTTATTCTATTAATCATTAAGGTTATGGTTGAATTATTGGCCTTAAGTACGAAGTTTCATGAAGTACACCTGCGTACTTCGCCCCCTCCCCAAACAGGGGTATAAGGCAGAGGCTGGTTAGTCAGAGACGGGTAAGATTGAGTCCGACTCTCTCAACCTAAGACAGGTCATAGTCGCCTGGAGGACTGTGGCTGATGACGGGCAAGAGTGATTTCGGTATTTGACAACCTAAGACAGGCACAGGCATCTGCCGACGTTTTTGAATAAAAAAACGTCTTCAGTAAATAAAAAAGGGGGGAGATGTTGGGAGCTGCTCTGAAAGCAGAGGTCTGTTCATTCAAATGTGGACGTGCAGACACAGCTCTCTCACAGTCAGATTGTCTTTCTCACGGTCAGGTTAACTTTTGTGCTTTAATGTTATTGAAAACGTCAGGTGCTTAGCCTTGGGAAAAATATTTGCCTGACAAACAAGAACAAGGATGGGGGTGCTATTTTGAGCAATAGTACATTCCCGCCTAACAGTGTATAAAAGCTTGCTAGAAAATAAACTCGGGGCTGCAGTCTTGAATTGCAATCCTCCTGACCCCAGCTTTTTTGTGTCTGTCTTTTCTCAGTCCTCAACCCATTAATCGAGTCCCCCATTGCTTTGCCGGTGGGCTCCGGCAAATTTTAGTATATATTTATTTCTGCTTCATACTAAAAAGCACAGTAGTTGCCTCAAAGAAAAGCATATGGGCAATTATTTAAGTTGTGAGCTAAACTATTCACTTTTTAAAATGGGAACCCTTTTTTAAGTTGAAAGAATGAGTTACAAACTATGGTTATTCAAATTTACGTAATATTAAGAAGGCACTTTCTTCAACAGTCTAAGGTGTGCCTTTCACTCTAAAATAAACAACCAATAGTACTTGACGATGATAAAATTAAGGTTCTCAAGCAAAAACTTACATTTTGGAAAACGTGCATATTCTCCGTAAGACTAAAGGCTTGCTAATACTTAACGTTTCTAAGGAGATTGGTGATATTAGTATTTTTAAAATACTATACAATGAGATATATCAACATCTAGAAATTCTGCGTTATTTAGTGAAACAGTATTTTCCTAATAACCACTGCATGATGGTACACAATCATAAATGGGTAAGAGATCTATTCAAATTTAAGATAAACCAATGGGTTTTATGTAAGAGTATTAAAAAAACACCCTAAATATGGCTTCAAATTTCAAATTACAGCTATCTTGAAGAAACGACCACTTGCTGAGTATTGGTGTAGTACCAAAGAAGAATATCCATAGTAATATGAAATGAGTATTAAGGTAAGTCTGTCTCCCTTCACTAACTATGTATCTTATGAGGCCAATTTTTTTCATATATATCAACAATAAATATGAAAACTTACAACAGCATATATATGAATCTATTAAAAGCAATGAGCCTATTTCTATCAAATTTATGAATAAGCATAACTTTGGCTGATTTCACTTAGCTGTACATTTCTGTAAAGCAATGTAAACAATGACATATATTTGAATCTTCAATACTAAGCCTATAAGCAACCTAAAGGTCCATTAACTAAATTTTGGCTAAATAAACTATGTATCAAGAGTATTCTAAGGGGAAAAAAAGGGTACACAATAAAATGTGTAATATACCACCAATTACATTAAAAGAAGAGGGGATACATTTGCACAGGTACATGAGATGCTGGGTTAGTCATAAATAGTTGACAACAAGATGAGGGGTTCGCAGATTTGAAAATCTGCATATAATTTAGTTGATCCTTGAAAATAGTTTGCAGTTGGGCCTGTCTGGATAGGACAGGCTGGATGAACAATCTGGAGGAGAAAACAACGGGACTGACAGTTCCGGGGGGACATGGGAGAGGGGGAGGAG